GATGTAGATTCCAGTCAGGCCTGTTCCCTTGGTTTCCACCATATGCAAAGCTCTGTAGTATGAGGGGAATCGGAGGCTAGAGCAGCACACGGTGACTTAGTTACTGCTCTGTGGCTGTGATACAATACTTGACAGAAAACAGCTTTAGGAAGGAAGGGTGTGTGGTGGATGTGTGGATTTTTCTTATACAGTTCAAGGTGTAGTCCATCCAGGCAAGGAAGTCAAGCAACTGATGACGCTGCGTCCTCAGACAGGGAGCAGACAGCAATGCTCCAGTTTGCTTTACCCATTCCATGCCAGACTCAACATACCTGCCAGGTAGGGTCTTTCTACCTTAACTAATGCATTCAAGATAATTAACTCCTCCCTTCAGGCATTGCCTACACGGCCATAAAGTAGGTGATTTTAGATTCCACAAGGTTGGCAACACTAATTGTCACACGCAGCTAGTAAGCGGGGATCAGAATTCAAGTCTAGGCCCAACAGCGGCAGAGCCCACTCCCAACCGCAGGGTACATGATCAAAGTGATGTTCTCTATGGTGCCATTTGCTGCCATTGCTGGGCTCTGCTTTTCAAACTTTATAGCAAAACACAGGTTTTAAACACTAGGTCTGATACAGCCAGCGAGGCATTTAGAATTTCAAATGAAATTATGGCAGTGGAAACATGTAGTCTCTGAGCTGTAAAATGCTCTACAAATAAGATCAAATTATTGTATCTAATGTATGCTAAGGAGACAATCAGAGATGTTGAAAGGTTTGCCCAAGGGCATGGGAACATCAGATGGTGCAGACCAGGGTGCCAGCCCTAGTCTTGGGACTGCAGGGTAAACAAGGGAACCAAGAAGCCTGTGCTGGTCTTTAGTGTCCTTTCCCATTGCTTGAGCTTTTGTTCCTTTTTAGCTCTTAGTGAAACTGAGAGTCAAGGCAGGGACTGGGGTGCGGGTGGTGGAGGGGGTGGTGGTGGTATCTCTCAGGATGGGGTTGTGGTAGTTGAGTCTTCTAGCTGGAGGCAGAGCTCTGGGGCAGGTGGGTGGAGAGGAGAGGCTGGCTGCTCTGTGAATGGGGCAGGAAGGATTTTATAGCCCTATAAAACCCAGGCAATGAGTTATTTTAAAACTTGGAATTAAACTGGAATTCAGGGTACGCTCTTCCAGTGTACACATAACACCATCGCAAAACTTCTTAAGTAAAAAAAAAAACCAGAAGTATGTTTGTTTAGAAAGATCCAAGGATTGAACCTGGACCTATGGAAGGTGTCAGCACGGGCTCCGCCGCAGATGTGTGTAATATGAAGGGCTGCAAGACAGACGTAGTAGTCTTTGCCGAGAACCGCAGACCGCTTGTTTGTTCATTCATTTTCAAAGGGATTCGCTGTCCAGATCAGAAGCCGTGCAGGGACTGTTTCATGTGCGTCTGCTTTATTTATTCTTCACCGAGTCCTTGTGTGCCTGGCCCCATTGTAGGAGTTTTTAAGATGAAGAAATGTGCACTCGGAGACAGTAAGCAACGTGGCTCCGGTTCCCCGGACAGCATGAGATACAGCGAGATATGGATCTATCTTACAACCGATCTGCTATTTCCTCGAGACATGCAGAAGAAAGCCTTTTCATTTTCTCTGTTCTTAATCTCAGATCTTCTATTTAGGTCTTCTCTCTTCCTCTCTGAAATACATGTCAGAAACTTTCCTCCAATGAAAGCCATGCATGCCAGTTTTTGTTCTTGTTCCTGACTAATGAAATGCCCTTGCCTCTCTTCTTCGGAGAGGAGGGGTTTCGCCCTCCTCCTCTGGAATGTTTGTTGCTGATGAGAAGCCAGCTACTCAGAGGTGAGCCGCTGTAAAGTCCCCAAACCTCAGTGCTGCTTGTAAAACATCCCCTTGGGAGTGCAGAGGTGGCTCAGCGGGTATAGAGCAAGGACTGAGGTCAACCCTCTGTAGCAGTACAGGTTAGTAATCTCCGGGCTAGGGGATGGGGTCAGGGACAACCAAAAGGATCTGGAGGCCTCTGCAGCCAGCCAATCAGGGAGCACCAAGGTCATTGAGAGATCTTGTCTCCCGCCTTCTACTACTTATCTAGCTTTCTTTACTCTGACGCAGTTCAGTACCCTCTGCCTAGAAAATGGTGCTTCCCACAATGCACTGGGTCTTCCTACATCAATTAACATTCAAAACACAGAGATGCCCAAGCAGGCCAACATGATTCAGGCAACTCTCCTCCAGGATCTCTTCCCAGGTGACTCTAGGTTGGCATTTAAAAGTACACATGACAAGGCCTGGACGTATAGCTCAGCAGTTAAGAGGAAACGCTGTTCTTTCAGAGGACCTCAGCTAGGTTCCTGATAATAGCGTAGGTAGTTCAAAAACCCCTGTAACTCCAGCTCCAGGAGGATGCAGCGCTTTTGGTCTCTGTTGGCACTCGTATTCATATGCACATAGCTACATACATACAAATAATTAACACAACAACAACAAAAACACGGTCACAGACAGGAAGTGGGGCTCTGCTACAAAACCCTCAGGGCCCACCCACAGTGATCTACTTCCACTGGCCTGGTCCCACCTCCTAAAGTTTTCATCACCCCCTTGAAACAATGTCACCCTCTGGGGACCAAGTGTTCCAACACGTGAGTCTATGGGAGGGGTAGTTTCCATTCAAACCGTAACAGACACGTGTGATTTAGAGGGGGAGAGCGGTCATTCAAAATTCTCTGTCGGTTGTTTTGAAATGCCAAGGTAATTACTATCAGCACAGTCACCATGCCGTGTTATAGAGCATTCAAAATAATAATCTGGAAAGCTATGCAGATGGCTGGAGATATGAAGAAGAGACTCGTGTGTCGCTCCACTTTCTGTGACTGTAACAATACCTTCTGGACAACCATAACATAAGCCTGTGGAGACACAGCTCATTGTGACTCATGGATTTGAAGGTTTTGGTTCCTGTTGCTTGGTTCTTTTGCTTTTGGGTGTGTGACAAGGTTGTACATATTATCGAAGTTTGCTGCTCATGTTCCGAAGGATGAAGAATGACGGGAATGGTTTGAAGAAAGAGTGTTGTGGCAGTGGTTTTGTGTGCTGGACAGCTTTGAAGACATAGGAAAACCACTGGGCTGTCAGGGAGAAGGTCCTGGTGACAGTCCCTGAAGGGGTGTAAGCAGAAGCCAGAATTATGTGTAGGTGTATCCTCTAAATGAGAAGAACGTTTTCCGTCGTGGGCTTTTTGTTGGTTGCTAGGGGTGTAACTAACAAACAGGATGCAAGTGAGCCCGCACAGGTAGCACAGAAGACAGAAGACAAGCAACAATGACAAAATAATTACAGGAGAGCGATCTCTTGGCAGGTCAAGTTCGCACCCAGCATGGCTGCTCTGGTCGCCACGTTGTGTATCAAGTGCCCTTCCTAAGTGTATAAGCTTGCTCATTTCCCAAGTGCTGCTCCGTTTGACAAGCATTTCCCTGTCTGTGCACGTACCTCAGGCATTAGCGACCACTCCTCTAGTTTCCTCTATGAGTTCAGCATTTTATGTTTTACCCAAAACTCAGACCATGCAATGCTGGCTTTCTCTGTCTGACTGTCTGTAAGCATACCAGTGTACGTGTGTGTAAATGTACATGTGCATATGTGTGTATGAGTGTACAAGTTCACGAGTGTGCAAGTACATACATGTGCATGAGTGTACAGTGCATACATGTACATGTGTGTACAAGTGCATATGGGTGCATGTGTGTACGAGTACATGCGTGTGTACAAGTGCACATGTGTTTATGTGGAGGCCAGAGGCCAACATCGAATGCCTTCCTCAGATGTTCTCCACTTTAGTTTTTGAGACAAGGTCATAATGAACCCAGAGTTCACTAATTTAGCAGGCCCCGGAGGGGTGTGTGTGTGTGTGTGTGCGCGCGTGCACACACATGTATGTATATGTGTGTATGTGTCTCACAATTACTTTATTACCCTGCCAGTGGACATGGAGGTTGTTTCCTGTTTTGGTTGTTGATTAAAGTGCTGAAAATTAGCAATAAAATGCAGAATTACATTTAAATCATTGGATTTTTTTTAACATTTGGCTAATTTTTTTTCTCTTTTGGAATAATTTTTGCTATCTTCAAATGTTCATTTTTGAGTCCCTAAGAGTCCAAAAAAAGTAATATATTAGAGGAGCTACAAAACATCCCATAAATAATGGAATTGGAACTTGTTGTAGCGTGTGGCACTGTAGAGCAAACAAAACAAATGGCTCCAGTAAATGGGAAAGGACTGAGGACTCTGAGCAGCGAGGAAGCAGAGATCAAGTGATATTGAAGTCTGGGGATGTGTAATCAGGCTCGAATGTCTTTGACTCTGGAATATGATCTTAGGAGCCTCCTCATATATATCACAGGATAATCTCAGCGGTAGGTTACACCCCCCCTAAAAAAATCCTCGGCTAAATAAATCGAATGATGATAGTTACCACACGGACAGCAACAAGACTGAGGAGGGTGAACAGGAGTGTCTGATCGGTGAGTCAGTGATACCGTCGGGTTTGTGGTTCCTCATGCTTCTGCCTCTGATACCGTCGGGTTTGTGGTTCCTCATGCTTCTGCCTCTTAGTCACAACGTCGCTGCAGAAGCCCTGCTTAATGTATGAGGTCACACAACATCCTTCAGAGGAAAGATGGATGCCTGGAACTCCCCCAAAAGCCTTCTGCTGTCTCATGCAGGGAGAAGAATAGGTCAGGAGCTCACCCTACCTTGTTGACAGTAATGGCCTTTTTTTTTTTTTTTTTATGAACTGAGGTTCTGGGGCAGGTGATGAGGTTGACACAGTGTCCCGAGTGTGTAAGGAAAGAGGACGGGATGGATGATGGCTGGAATTGCTTAGGAAAGCAGAGCTGTCTCATTCAAAGCCTGCACCAGGATGAAGCTTCAGCTCCTCCGAGGCCTGCTGTGCCCTGACCGTCAACAGTGAATTCCTCAAAGTCAAAGCAAAGATCTCTTCTCTCCGTTCTACCCACAGGCTGCACACCAACCTCAGCTGCCCTTTGGGAGGCTGACACCGAGCCACCAGCTGCTTCTCAAGGCCGGACAGTGGGGAAGTGCCACTTTTCCTCCATGAGCTCAGCCTGGGCCTCTGCTGGATGCTCGACTCTGCCACATCTTCCCCAGGACAGTGTCTCTGAAGGACTGTGGGATTCAGAAGGAGCTCCGGAAGAGTCCAGGCAAGTGTGCACGTGGGTATGAGACTATTCCTGGGAAATGTGGGGCTTCCTGCATGGCAGGTGTGGTAGAAGCTGAGAGAGGAGTAAGTGTTCTGAATGACGATGAGGAGATCTCTCTTTCTTTCTCTCTCTCTCCTCTCGTGTGTGTGTGTGTGTGTGTGTGTGTGTGCGCGCGCGCGCGCGCGCACGTGGGCAGCACACACACACGCGCGTGCACGCACGCTATTGTTTGTTGCAGTCTGCCATTAAAACCCCCTGTCAACTCTAAAGTGTGCTTCTCTAAAGTGTATCTTCTTCAGTCTTCTTGAGAGTCCTCTAGAGCGACAAATGGGCCATCATCCCCTCCAAGCCCTACCTCCTCCCCCAGAAAGAGCGGGTAGGAAGCTAGCGGGGAGACTTGGACCAAGGACAGCAGATAACGGCCATAGGCAGGGGGTTCCCATGACGACGCAGAAATTGGCAGACAACCTGACATCTTAAAGTGTGTCCAGCAGACCTGGCAAATGTTCCTCTGCAGACACAGGTTTGAGGAGCAGCGAAAATAAGAGGCAGTAGGAGGGTGAACCCCGGAGGGAACAGCAGAGTGACAGGCAGCTGAGAGTGACTCCTAGGGCATCCATTGGCAGGGCAAGAATATATGAGACTCATTTGCCCCTCGTGATGTGGTTGTATTTTATGCCTTCCTCGAATCTTCCATCCGAGTGTCGATTCCTTCAGAGAAGTCATGAACTATTTTATTTCTCTTCTCCACAGCGGCAATCTTCAGTTACAGTTTCTTGACGCATTCCTATAAAACAGGCAGGCCAGTCAAGATTCTAGAGTTTCCCTTCCCAGGGTTGTCATCCGTCTCTGCCGAGAACACACTCAGAAGTGACAGTATCAGACCGGAGGTCACTCTGAGGTTGACTTTCCCAGGGCTGTTGTAACAAAACCCAAGCTGGTGATTTCTGACACAAACTACTGTCCCCCAGAGCTGGTGGCTGGAAGTGGGAAATCCACTTCCCAGACGTTGCTTCCTTATTGATGTATGGAGACTCCTCCCTGCCGCTCCCTGATAATTGGCCATCTGTGCCAAGCTAAGGGATCCCTTAGCTTGCAGCCATATTGCTCCGTTTTGTCTCTGTTCCATACAGCATTCTAGAACCCTTGTGCATCCTTACTGGGATGGCTCATTAGCATACAGTCACATTTGCTTTGGGGCCCCTCCTACTCCAACACGGCCTCATCTTAATTAATTGCACCCCACGACCAACTGTCTCAATGACATTGTACTCTGAGATACAGAGGTGCTCACTAGAGCTTTTTCTTTTTGAGGTCAAAATTCATTCCAATGATGTTAATTTGTTCACTGTGACAAGGAGAAGGACATAAGGAGGGGTAAGGGGTCAGTGTTAACCGTGTCTTTTTGTGTTGTAGGGAGAAGTAAGGGGCAGAAAAAGCATGCGGCCTCTGCTCCTGGTGAGGTGTAGACATGTGTGTAACAGGTGGGGTTTAGAGGAGCACCCACAATACCATGCTCGAGAGGAGAAACTGTACCTTCCGGTCCCTTCCCATGTCATAGGACAAGTAGGTCAGGTACCATGACAGAAAAGAACAAGACAGCCTTAAACGTTGGGGGACGCTTGGAAACGCCACCTGCTCAGTGCTGGAGACCTCAGAAGTCCTCGCTGTTTTGAGGAACTGAGTCATGGCAGAACTGAAGGAAATGTCTCCCCTAGGCAGCTATGGAGGGGTCCTTTACCCCTGGGGCTGGGAGAGCTACTGGGCTCAATCAGTGCCTTGCTGTGTTGAGCCCGCTGCTGCTCCCAAACCTGCAGCTCAGTCTCTCTGCTGCCAACTTCTCCTCTCACTATCTGGGAAGTCTTCAGGGTGAAGGGCATGGGCCTGAGGCTGCCAGGTCGTCTGAAACCTGACTGTGTTCTTCTCATGTTGATTGTTTATTTATAGGTGCAGTGGCTGAAAAATCAAGTCACTGCAGAAGGTGTTTAGTGAGATATTGTCCCTGCTTCATTTACAAATCCCGTCCTGTCCCTAGTAGTTTTAGTCGTGTCTTATGCATCCTTCCAGCTTTGTTTTTTGAAAATGTAGTGTGTGTGTGTGTGTGTGTGTGTGTGTGTGTGTGTGTGTGACAGTGTAGAAGTGGAGCCCAGCTCTCTCCTTCAACTATAGGGGTCCTGGGGTTCAAACACAATTCATCAGGCTTGGCAACAGGCAACTTCGCCCCAGGCTAATGTCAAATTTATCATCCTCCTGCCTCAGCCTGTCTAGTGCTGGGCTGCAGACAGGTGTCACTGCTCTATCCATTCCCTCATTGTATAGTTACAGCGGACTGTCCACACTTCTTCTAAACCTCACCTTTTCCTTAACTCATCCTGCTTTCTTCCCTTGGGGCTTTCTCAATTTCTCTGATTTGCTGAGACAGTGTTCCACACAGCCCGGGCTGACGTTCAGCTCACTCACTATGTAGCCAAGAATGACATTGTGTGCTGGGATTACAGATGTGTAGCTCTACATCTGCTGGTCACCAAACCCAGGGCTTTGTGCAACTGCAGCAAGTCCTCTGCTAGTTGAGCCACATCCCCAGCTGGGAGCTTTCCCATTGTGTAGTACCCGACAGGGTATTTTAAGTCATTTAGTGTTACAGGTAATACTGGCCTGAGTTCACTGCCTTGTTGTATTGTGTCGGATTATGTATAACATTTAAGATTTCTGAGTTACTTTTGAAGTAGTCAAAGGACCCCAGAATATGGCTAGCTTCTCTGTAAATGGGACTCTACTTTATTTGAATAGCTGGATTGTTTCTTCCTTTGCCTTAAACCTTGAACTTGGTTTGCATTGTGAAGTCCATGTCCTTGTCTCAAAGACGGGAAAGAACTGGGTTGTTTGGTTGTCCTACCATTGTCTGGGTAGTGACTTAGTAACCAGCAGTAAAAATGGGTAGAATTATATGTGGATTACTTTTCTCTTTGCTGCAGTCAAATACCCAATGAGAAGTAGCATGTAAGCAGGAAGGTTTCTTTGGCTCCCTCTAGGGAAGGCATGGTAGGAGGGTTGGCTTTAGGTGTCGCTGGTGGGAGCCTGTGGCATGACTTGCTCCCATCCCAGCACACCAGGGAGCAGAAAGCTTAGAGCCCCTTTATCAATCGTAATCCTTAGCTCTGCCTCCTTTCACCTTTTGGTGAAGCCCCATATCTAAAAGATTCCAGAACCTTCCAAAGCAGCTTCACCAGCTGGGGACAAAGCATTCAAACTCACTAGCCCATGGTTGGCAACTGGACCTCGTGGGTGTATTGGGGGGTGATATGAGATAAAGACACGGCCTTAGGGAAGAAGTTTCACCACTATCCATAGCTCCTTTGGACCCCAAACATGAATATTGGGCAACCTCTGCATGCCCGGCCCCTGTTGGGTTTGAGAGATAAAATAAGAGTTACATCCTGATACATCTCCCTTAGGATGGGGCAGCAGAGGGCTACAGTGCTACCAGGCAAGTGTAGCATGGGAAGGGTGCAGGTGTGTCAGCTGGTTCATGAAAGAAACAAACGGAAAGGATTCACCCGGGAGTCAGGAGGCGGCCAGTTCCTGACTGTCTTGAATCGTTATCATTTTTTTTAAAACAATGCTTGATGCAGGAAGGAAGTGGGGGCCCGGAAGTGGAGGCTGTGAGCTAAGGTGTTGAGCCATCCTGCCCACAGCTCCGATGACTGGCCATGACAAGGTAACAACGGCCAGATGGGCTGAGCTTGCTTTCAGTTTTTCTCATTCACGATAGAGTCCTTCTCCAGCCCGTTAGCTGGGTGGCCTTCTCGTTGGACACTCACCTCTTCCCAATGAAGGTAATGAAGCCCAGACAGTCACTGGACAGAGGAGAGGAGGGTCAGGACCAGGAAGGCATGATTGATGGGTCACAGCATTCTGCCACATCCCCAGAGATGGGATCTTCAGACTTGCAGGCCTGGGCAGCTTGCTGCTTTCGTGGCTTTGTACTGATGCTCCCCCCTCCCCCCACCCCCTACCCGTCCCCCGTGTGCCTCCCACGGCCCCCAGTTTGCAGACAGCAGCATCTAGTATCTGTGGTTATCTTTGAATAACTGGGTTTTGTTTTGTGTGTATTCTTTCTCGGAGTGTGGCATTAACCAACCACAGCAACCTGCAGGCAGAACTGGTGGGGAGGGAGCCTGCTGTTTCTCAGACAATGCTCGGTCCGCAGCAGCAGCAGCTGGTGCTGGCAGGGGCATGGTAGAAAATGAAGGTGCTGAAACAGCCTCTGAGTGGTCGCTGAGGTCTCTGCCTTGTGCTACAGATGAAGGAGAAATTAGGGTGTACTTGTTCCAGGTTGAAAAGGACAACAGACTCCTGGTGGGGTTCAGACAAGAGGCATATCTAGTGAGTGTCTCTGTGTTGATCTCCGCGTGGTGACTCGAGATGTCCTGTACCTTTCCTGTCCTTAAGGAGCTAGTGATGGGCAGGGGATCAAATTGGACGGCTTACCCAACCTTTCTAGCTTTGCTCCTCAGAGAAATTAGCTGGAGTCCTAATGAGGTCGGTGCTGCCCCCTAGAGGGCAGAGTCATAAATTGTCAGAGAAATTATGCCAGAAGCTCAGGGAAAGTAGTTGGGGAAGAAAACTATAAATAACGTAAGGATAAAATCTTGAGGTGGTGGGACCCTTTCCCCTCGTCGATCTGTCTAGCTTAGAGCATTTCCAATGACTCTTTGAACTGAAAGGCCCCAGTGTAGCGTGCCGTTTCTGTGAAAGCCGGAAGCTACCCGTTGGTTTATAGCCTCTGAGTGGAGGTGCTTTGGAAGTTGTTGGGGTCAGAGCTTGGCTCCAGCAATGCCACAGCTTGTCCACATGTCCCCCTATATGGCAACAAAAGAGACAAATGAGGAGAAAACTCAGTGGACAAAGCGCTTGAGAGCCCGAGTTCAATCCCCAGTATTCTTATAAAAGATTGGGTGTGTTAGCAGCTGCTTGTAATCCTAATCCTGGGGAGACAG